ATGAAAAGTACAAGATTATGCCCAAAGAATTGCAGATGTTATTATTACTAAAAACAGCAAAATATTATGATATGGACAGTTGGATAAAGAAACAAAAATTTAACATAGTAGGAATTTTTCCAAAGCTGATTCTCAGCTCAGATCAAGAAAAAGACACTTAGTATTAGAAAAAAAGTGTTGCTCTATGAGCCACGGAGTGCAGAAGAAGAATTTTAAATCTTAAGTAGTCATGGAAGCAATTGTTTGATCACTTTTAAGTTGCAGTTGTGCTAAACAACTGCAGTAAAGTAACTATAACAAAACAGGATATTTCTGAAAAAAAAATGATGAGAATGAAGAAATTGAAATTAAAAATTAACAAAACTTGGTGGCATTTATGGTAGCAGCACAAATGGGTCCAATTAAAGAAGTTCCTGGCATTGTACTTCGATTGAGGGAAGCTGATTTAGATTATTAGTCAGCTGCGTCCAAAACTTATGAATGCTAGGGGTCCATCAAATATCTTTAAAATGTTATCCATCAATCCAAAGCACAGACCAATGAAGACCTTACGAATAACGAAGACCACTTTGATTTAGCTAATTAAGTATGCAGCATTAAACAAGCTTATGTACTAAACCAAGTTTTAGAACAAGTTAAATTTTTTTTAGAAAACATGACAGAATTCCAGTTAAACAAAGAACAATTATTCAGGGAAAAGCAGGAAATAAATACGTTTGATTCCAGGAATTAAAAATTACTTTGAGTTAAAGATTACAATTTTCTTCCATTGTATTAATTAACCAATCCAATCACTGTCTTTATAATTTCATTTTACTAGCTATACTTCCTATACTCTTTTCTAAAAAAATTGTTTGCACATGCCATATCCAAAGCAGTTTTCAATTATGTGCACTGTTACAGGGACAGGAAAAAGACTCATAATTCAACACATGACAAATGGAATACAAGGAAAGCTAGGAATTGACGCCAGTTTAATTTTAGGACCAACAAGAGTGTTAGCACTGCAAATTAAAGGGCAATAAACCAATCAGGCTCGTACATTTATGGACAAGAATTTAAAGAATTTGATGGCATAACACTTCAAAATTCCAGAAAAAAATTGAAAACATTCAGTGTACTGTGATTGATGAATGTTTGATGGTAAGCGCAAAAATTCTGAGAAAAATTGACCTGCGACTACAACAAGCCTCGGATTGGAAAGAACCAATTGGAAATTTATTTAAGTATCTAATGGAAAATATAAGACAACTTGCTACCGGTGAAAGAACTACCCTTCTAAGGAGATTTCTTTGATCACTTCACTAATCACAGAAAAATACTTCTGCGTACGTTAGTTAAGGTTTTTACTTCGACAAAGCGTTTTCGTCAAAAAGACGACAAGTTTTTATTTATTATTAATGTTTACAAGTAGAGTCA